CTACCCCCTTCCCCCTCCCCGTCTCCATTTTCTCTCATCTCTTCCACCTTCTTTCTTCTTTAAGTCCCTCCCCCACGTCTTCCTTACTTTTTTCTTAAGCTCCTCCTCGGATAGTAGTGTAAATAATGAATGTATATGAATACTGTAATGCAGTGTACTTGCCTCGAATGATAGTAATGATAATAATAATGGTAATAAAAATGATAATAATGATAATAACAACAAAACCAATAGTAATTATAGACATGATAACGAGATTAATAATAAAAAAAACAATAATGATGATTCAGATGATAAAAATCAAGATAATTTTCTATACCATAATTAATATGATTCTTATTGCTTCGGAAAATGTGTATATTCTGTGTCCTTCATTAATACATATGTTACCAATTATCATTCCATTATACATCAGAAAGAAACGACTTTAACTCCGCAGTCACATGGAATATAAATATAGATGTGGCCTGACTTTAAAAATATATTCACTAGACTTTTCTATTGTTTTTAGTACTTGAATGCTATTATTTCTTAGTATTATTCCAAAGATCATATAATTATTATTTTCATAAATATTGTCGTCTCCATTGTCATTATTATTATCATTGCTGTTCTTACTATTACTATTATAATTATCATCACATTATTTTGTTGTTTTATTAATGTTGCTGTTCTCATCATCATTCATTTATTGGTTTATAAATACATGCATCCTTGTCATGACAATAGCATGCTACCATCACTATGACAGCTAAAATCTTTGCATGGGAACACCAAGGGCGGTGAAAGTATATAATCTAAAGGTTCATCGCCATTTCCTCGACCATTTTTCACAATAAAAACATTTAGAAACAGAAAAGGGTAATCTCCCAGAAAAGATGGTTGGCCTTGAGCAGGGAGGCATGTGCCCATCCCTGCCATCTCCAAACTTGCTGTATCTGGTGTTTGTGGGAGGATAGTGCCCGTTTTCTACGTCTTCCTTATTTTAGATATTGTATAAATACTTGGGTGGTTAAAAGACTTTCAAGACAAAACCACTTTTTATTAACTCCCTTTGAAACCGAACAGCAGATGTTTACAATGTTTTCATGCACGTGTTCCCCAACAGAAACACTTTAAACTGGCAGGAACGCCATTAAGTTCCGTTGCAACATGACCTTCTGGGAAGTGTTTGTGATCCGCCTGCACTCCTCGGCGGAAATGCTATGAGCCTGACGTCGCCCGCAGCCACTCTCGCCGACTCTCTCTTGTTGCGCTGATGCTCAGCCAATGGCTCGCTTCCAGGCGGGCGCGGAAGCGTGTGCATTTAGGAGGGAATTCGTACGCTGCAGCCGCGTGATTCACGGAGTCAGACGCGTGTCGGGGATTTCTCGGTAGTCTTTTTATATATATCTTTAGTCCTTGGTTAGAGTAATTACATGTATGCAGTACACACACACACACACACACACACACACACACACACAACACACACACACACACACACACAACACATATGTATATGAAAAATCATACAGCCACATACTTATTGTGGATGTTTTTCTTTTCATATATATATATATATATATATATATATATATATATATATATATATATATATATATATAGAGAGAGAGAGAGAGAGAGAGAGAGAGAGAGAGAGAGAGAGAGAGAGATCTTCATCGCCATCGGCCTGCAGGACGTAGGCTCCTCCCAATCTCTTCCAGTCTCTCTGGTCTTGTGCTTACTGTTTGCAATTTTGGCCGAATTTCGTTATTTCGTCCCGTCATCCTGTCACTGGCCTGGACCTTGGACTTCTTGCGTTAATCATTTCCAAATCTGTTATATTCTTTGTCCACCTGTTGCCATGTCTCCAACACATAAGACCTGCCCATTGCCATTTCTTCTTTTTATTGTTCCTAAATGCAACATCCTCTTTGGTCTGTTCCCTGATCCATGTCGCCATCATCCTGTCTCCGAGGCTCAATCTTTCCATTCCTCTCTTAGCAAGTCCTAGTCTCCTCTCTAGTAATTTGGTCGTAGTCCGTTTCTGACCAATATGTCATTATCGGGAGAACGCATTGGATAAAGACTTTTCTCTTTAAACATAGTTAGTTTCTTTATTTTCTCTTCACTTAATGTGTATATTTGTTTGAGTTACCCTGGGTATTTACACTCGTCCACTGCTTCTAGCACTTCATCTCGTACAAATATCTGCACAAACTGAGCTCAATTGCTTGGTATATACAAGCATTGCAGTGCTTGTTATATACATATATGCATAAATACATACATGCATGTGTATAGGCAGATGTGTATATGTGAATATGTGTATAAATATATGTATATTTATATATAAATATATAATTATGTATGTATATCTGTCTACATTCACACACACACACACACACACACACACACACACCCAGTACATACATACATATATAGTATATATATGATATAATATATATATATATATATATATATATTGTGTGTGGGTGTGTGTGTGTGTGTGTGTTGT